TATAGCTGCCCATCTCAGACCAGTGACTCTGGGTGGCTAACAACAATAAAAACAGTCAACACTTAAAACAGTACAAAAAATATAAATATAAATACCGCTAAATGCTAAATGCTAAATGCTCTGAACTGGACTTTCATACTCAAATTCCTGGATCTCAGTACATGAATATACTTCCTTTACATATAATGCTACTCCTTTTCAGTTGTTTGTTTCCTTGAAATGAATTGTACCCTTCAGTTTTTGCATTCTGCTCATGAATTTTGTTCCACCAAATTTCAATAATGCCTAGTAAATCATATTTGCCTTCATTAAGACTTCTAGTTCTTCCAATTTTTCCTCATTCTGTGTGCATTTATACAGAGATACTAAAATCCTTGGGTCATGTAACTTGGCTTATTCCTTCTTGTATTTATGTTATTGAGTGCCTCCACCTCTTGCATGTCCCTCCAAGTCCCATTCTCCGTACTTGGTGTTGCACAATTTTCTGGGCTCCCTTGTCATGGCATTTGGCCTAGCTTAAAGTCCTTCAGATCAGGTTTACAAGGCAACTTTGAAACACATTCTTCCCAATTCTTATGAGGTACACCCTATATCTTGCCAGAAATATCTCAGAAATGTGTCCCATTATCAAAGAATCCAAGCCGCTTCTGTTGCACTATTTGTTTGCTTCCAGTATTCTCTCTCTTCCTGGGCCATGTCCTTCAGCAGGAAAGAGTGGAGAAAACACTGCCTAAATCTACAACTCCTTCACCCTCCTGTCCAGCACTTCATAATCATTTGTAGTTCCTCAAAGCTGTGTTTGATGGTCTCATTTATCTAAGAAAAATTCTGGACAGCTCTTAATAAAGTTTAGAATGAAGATTATTATACAAGCAACATAGTTTCAGAGTGAGACTTAAATAAGTCCCTTAAATAAGGGTGCAACTTACTTTGTAATTAGTATCACTCTACTGGAGGAAGATTTTTGTAGGTAGAAGGAAGAAAACCATGATCTAGAAAACCATGATCCCCAGAACCATAGAGAATCCACTCCATTTTTCCCACCACTAAACTAATCAGTATAATCTACTGATCAGTAGGAAACAAATAGCATTAGTAGTAGGAAACCTGTGATCTGCAGAGAATTTCTGGAAGTAAAGAGAAAGTCTTATTGCTTCCTTTCATCTAGGCTTCCCAGTGATACTGTTTAAGATTATTAGGTTGTCATAGCAGGAAATCAGGGATGGGCAGGTGGATTGTTGGGGCTGGAGAAGTCTCATTACTTCCCTCTCTTTTCCCACCCTTACTCAAGAAACAACCAGCTGAAAAGAAATGTTTCTAATCTATTTTAGGAGAGTATGGAGCTAGTATATAATAAATCCAAGCCAGTGGCAGTTACTGGAATGGCTTTCCCAACTGGAGATGTTAATAACTTTGTAGTTGGAAGTGAAGAGGGCACCGTCTACACAGCTTGTCGTCATGGAAGGTACTTTTCCCCCCTTTCTTTTGCTATACCGGTTGGCTTACGACACTTCTGTAGACTACAATGTTGTAAAAGGACTGAGATCATGCAGGAGATCTTCCAGTGCTTAATGCCTTCAGACAACTTTTAATAATTCTGATTTTACCTGGAGCAGTGACTCTGTGTGAGTCCACAAATGTTTATGTCATAATAAATTGTTTGTCTTTAAAGTGCTATAAAACTGTTCATTGTTCTTGCTGAATATATACTTATGTCCATAATTGCTGTTTTTGTGGGGAAGGGAAATACACCACATCTGGATAAGATGACCAGTGACTGCATATATATCAGAATAACTTATATGCTGCTTTTCAGAACAAAGCCTCCAAAGATGACTAGCAAAAGATAAAGCAGATTTTAAAATACTTTTTAAAAAAGAGAGTGGATTGTTGACAGCATGTTCTTTAAAGTGTATATTTAATGTAATGTGCAGCTTAACCTTTAGGTCAGCTACATAAATGAAATCTGTTCATGAATAGTTCCTGTTTTAGAACTTACCTGACCCTTACAATCATCAGCTGTTTTTTCATCACAAAAAGTTTGCTATTCAGGACGTCCTATACATTTTATTAAGTAGCTGCAGACTAATATTATTTATAGAAACTTCAGCAGTGCAATAAGATGGTTGTTCTGTACTTAAAATGATATAAATGTATAGCTACTATAGATAACTGTCCAAACCATGGGGTACATTATGGTTTTTTCATTCAGATTGAAAAAGCCACAGCATGCTATTCAAAAAAAGGAGTTAAGTGCTTTCACTCATGAATCTCAGCCACAACTTACACTAGAATCATTTAAGCCATTGTTAGTTTGCTGTGGTCATCTTCTTACCAAGAACTGGTGATCTTAATCTTGCTGATTTTGAAAAAGGAATGCTGATATCACAGCATTTTCAATGAAGTTAGCACGTGCGTGTGCATGTGTGTATGTGTGTGTGTGTGTATGTGTGTATATATATATTCATTCATTCATTCATTCATTCATTCATTCATTCATTCATTCATTCATTCATTCATTCA